CACTGCGCGTGAACAAACATTGTGATGTGAACCTGTTTACTGTTACGATTGTACATCTCTCTGCGTTCACATTGCCGTTCGAAGCTTTAGCAACGTTATTCAAAAAACGTCGTCAGCTGTAGACTAAATGATTACGATACAACTCTTTACACTTTAAGGGTACGGTTAGAAAACCTTTTATAGAAGTATCATTACAGATGTACATGCGAGTCAGGCATCAGAGGTTACATTTGAAACTGATTTTCATTTGATGGTTAGTACATTGTCCCGAGCAGTGTAAATGTTTAGTCAGGACTCAGTCGGGTGTCTTGGTTGGATGCCCGTGCGCCGGGGCCGCGCCTGAGGCCGATGACCCGCCATTCAATAAACATCATTTACTAGGCACTTTTCTAGGCCCTGTTATATTACTGCTGCTCTGCTCATAAGTTTTCATGCAAACTATTAGGTTAAATAATGAAAATCTTGCAGCAAACCTTCGTGTATGTGTGCAAATTATTCATAGTGCCAAGCAGCTTCTACAAACATTTTTGACTTGCTATTATTACAGAACTAGTATTGCAGTTATAGTTAATAGTTGTCGTAATGTAGAAAGAGTACAATAACGAGTCTAAAGTTTTCATTACGTAGGAATACGTCTTGCAATCCTCGACGGGTAATAGTAATGTATAATGTTTGTCTGTTCTAAAATAATTGTAACAGTACTTCGCGAAGTTAGATGGCTCATTTAGTGTGGGTAGGCGTTGCGTTGTTTTATTATAAAACTCAGTTACGTGTCGGTGAAAACTGCGGTTCACCCGTTGGGAAATTAAACTCGTCGCGGGGCGGTGAGGTGTCGTTAATTTGTTTTGGCTTCACAGACAGCGCCGAGGGGCGTCGGTTGCTTACTTCTTAATGCTCAAGTGTCTTCTTTGTTTGTAGAAATTGTCAAAATATTATGCCGCCTGATGCTTTTTACGCCATTTTTATAACTTTAAATTGTTATCTGTAGATTTTCTTTTTCACTTTTCTTATTTTTGACCTTGTGTTTAGAGTTACTGTAATTACAGCGTTGGGAGAACGAGAGATTAAACACTACACATAAAAAAGCTAGGCGTAGCAGACTGTTCTGTTATCTGCAAATTCATTCAATGACTATAGCTGTAGCCAATTTATGACTCTAATTGATTGACTCAGAACAAGTAATAAATGTATTCATCATCTTGTTAAAAGGTCGTTGTGTTCCGTTTATAAAGAGCATAGATTCCCCTACTTGTGGCGAGCATTGCAGAAAGTAGCGGTTAAGTTAGATGCTTGTTCAGGCCCATGAACTATTTGACATAAATATGTTTAGCGTCCGGTGAATAACATAGGACTGAGACCACGCTGGTGGCAAAACACAATCGGAAATAAACACAATGGACCGAATAGTTCTATAAACCAGTATACGTTCATCATAATTCCTATAAAAACATTGTTAGATATTTTTTACAAATCCTAGTAGTTTAAATTAACGGTTTCATTTAATGATTTTCTTGATTGGATAGCGGGAAAGACAGGCGGAAAATTTGAAGTTGCTGCCCCTGGTAATCTCGTTATGTTTTATACCAATTCGTTTATTTTCCTTTTTGAGTTGAGTTTAAGCAGGTAGTACGTGTTTGAATTACCAGAGTGAATTTGATGATCATTTCATAAATGGCTTTCTAGTTTAAGAGATAAAAAGTACAGAATGGAAATGTGTTTTTGTCGGCAGTTTTATTTTAGTTCTCATTCGAGTAGAGAATATAAACTACTCATTAGGCTCCCTAGTACAAAGTTTAAACTACAAAGCATGAAGTTTTCAATACATCTCTTATTGTATATTCGAAAGATTTATACATTAAAAAATACGTGGCAATACATACGTCAATGAATAAGGCAATTAAATCAAGACCATTGTTTCATTGTTATATTTGAGCATCTACACTACACTACACATCACTAAATTTCCTATCTTTACCGAATTACCGAACATGATGTTTTCAATTTAAAGATATTGATTGATTTTAATTTCCATGCCACCGTATTGGTTACCTTCATTTGATTAAATCATAAGTAGAATTTAATATACCGTTTAAAATAACATTTTAAATGCACATTTCATCGCTTGCCGATTATTAATTACATCAATTGTACAACTTTACCATCAAAACCAGAACCAGATAACTGCGTTAAACATTTCACGTCACGTGACAGCTCTGTGCACGAGCCTCGCTGCCAGCTGTAAAACGTGACCTTACCACCCACATTGTGGAACTGACGTCCGTTTTGCGCAGATGGTAACAATCATCTAGGGGCCAGGGATACGATACCTGCGGGTTCTTCTGACCTTCTGACTTTTATTGATGACTTGGATGTATTTTAATGATTGTCATTTTTTAATAAATAAATGTTTATGCTTTGTCGTGTGTAGACTAGGGAATATTTTTATAATACACATTACAGTCACTGTGTACAATAGAGATATATTATTATTACTTCAATTCAAGTAAATCACACCTTTAATTAATTTTAATTAAAGTTATAATTTTAATTACCACTCACGAAACTTTTTACTTAATAGTTTCCTAAATGCTTAGTTATTATTTAAGTTTTTACATCCATACTAATATTAGAAATGCCAAAGTGGGTGTCTATCTGTCTGTCTGTGTCTGTTACCTCTACACGCTAAACAGCTGAATTGATTTAGATGAAGTTTGATATAGAGATAGTTTAAGTCATGATGAAAGACATAGACATACTTTTTACCTCAAAAACCAACATACACATGGGCGGAGCTGCGGGCAAAAGCTAGTACGTAAAATTTTCGTGTCCGACATTACGCGCTAATCCTTATTTATCCCTTTGGCCTGTCTTTTCAGGCCTTTACATACTTATAGATCTTATGTAGTTTGAATACGTAGATTTTTCGTGGGAAAGCCGTGCTTTGCCACCACCACGGCCGCCCAGAAATCTGGTGTTTAGCACTTCTTTCGTGGGTTGTCACCGAGTGAGTGAGGTTAACGGTAGAAAGATTACGATTACGATCTATAATAATTAAGTCGCAATGGTTTTGCAACTTTGTCACAGGTGTGATCATATGATTTATAAATCATATTATTTATTACAAGTTATTGTATTTTATTCCATCCCTAGTTACCGGAGCCCTTTTGAGTTCCATGTGTCCATGGCCGTTGTTAGTCACTTACCATCAGGTGAAGCTTGCTCGTTACCCCCCCTCCATACTAGAAAAAACGACCTAAAAAGTAGTAGTAATACAATTGATCGTTTTGTTAATAATAGTTAGATTTTATGTTGATTTTATTATAACATTAAATGGTAATAAAAGTAATTTTGGAACTTCTATTTTAATTTAATAATTTCGAAAGCAAAATATGTGATGTCACACTAGAGGCGGTCGATGTCACAAATGTTACCAGCTGTGACAATGACGGGGTGGAGGTAAAAAAAAAACATCAAATTCGTGTGACGTAATTTATGGATGGCCCCTAATTGGCAAGGTTTCTTACTTCCTGAATGCACAACTATTATCTGTATGTATCATCAATAACTTGTTAACTACTTAACTTTTGAAAGACAATGCCACTCTGGCACTCGAAATCGCACTAGATATTTAAATTCCAATTACAAAACCCCATAACTTTCAATCTCGTCAAGTCTAGACCAGAATGAACTGGCATTTCCAGCTTTAGAATAGCATTATTAAAACCAATTTCAGGCGACCGAAAATCGTTTCTGAACGGTTATGATCTCAATATTACCTTGAGAGTTGATCGTTAAACATAATAAACAATCGTTCATTGATCCATCGCAAATACCTACTTTCAATGATGTTTAGATGATATCAGAAGCATCTATATTATCATTACCAAGAATGACCCAACTGTTTCTAATTATTAGTTAATATAAGAACTAGTGTTTTTTTTTAATATTGCAAAATTTTTAAATAAAGAAATAAAAATAGAAATGTATTATGGGCTTCTAAAAGTCAATGAATTTTGATATTCCTCGTAGAGATTAAATAAAAAATAAGTTAAAAACTAAAACTAGACTGTAAAATCGCGCGCTGATAATAACACAAAAATATTCTTGTCCACCATTCTGATATACTCGGTTAAGTAGACTACTTATTCTTACACTCAAATTGGATATGAATTGTAGATGAATGTATGTATGTATACGCACTAAAATCATAACCCTCCTTTTTGACTTCGACGTAGTCCGATAATAAACAGTTCGTACCCGCTGGTGACGGCACTCTGTTCGACAAAAGTTTGAATATAATTGTTATAGATTTATAAACTTTATGAAAACAAAGAGTATCTTATTGACGGTGTTGAGGCCCAAGTTATATCTGTATTGTAAAGTGACAAGTTTGAAAACTATTACTTTGAATAGAAGTTAATAACCCAAGCAGATACAATTTAACTCAATGCCCGTTGCACTTAAATATCGGTTTACTATAGCTTTCAAAGTAATCGAAAAGTAAATAAATTTCGTGGTAATGAAAATGCTAGGAATTGTTAATGTTAACGTGCAGAGCCACATCCAGGGTTTCATTTCATAATCATTAGTGTATTAAAAAGTGTTCAAGGAGCATTCCGGAATTTCATTACGTCGAATCGTTAATTCTTTTCTTTTCTTTTTTTAAAGACAACTTCCGCACTAGCAATATATCCTGTGTCGTGGGGGACCTTAAAAACACATTTAACGGACACAAAGAACACCCAGACTCAGAACAACAATTTGTGAATCATATAAAGTGTTATCCCATGGGGATCGGATCCACAACACTCAGCGCAGTAGGAAGGGGCGAAGTGACCGCTTAAACCATCCGTGCAGTCACTTCTTCTTCTTCTGAAAGCTCTACTTCTGAACTGGCACTTTAAGTTACATCTATTTATACATTCTGTATTTTTAATAGATCTTTATTTTTTTACTGTCAATGGTTTTGAAAGAAATCTTAAATGTTCTTTTCTTTCCAGGCTTGAAGTATTTACACTCGGCTCGCATTCTCCACCGCGATATCAAACCCGGCAATTTGCTCGTCAACAGTAACTGCGTGCTGAAGATATGCGACTTCGGCCTTGCCAGGGTCGAGGAGCCTGACGCGAGCAAGAATATGACACAAGAGGTTGTCACGCAATACTACAGGTAAACCATACAACATCTACACATTGCATTGTGTAGCGAAGCCAAATGTGTGTAGAAACCTGTTCCTTCTTAAAAGTTTTGCGGGATAAAAGTAGCTCTTCCTCTTAAGGCTCACAAATGGAGTGTACTGTATACGCACATACAATACCTACAGTCAATTATTGTTAGTCACAATGAATGATAGACATTATTTAAAAAAAAAGAAGAAATTAATATGACGTTTACTTCTAAGATCTGACGACCAGTCCGTAGATTATAATTCAATGCATGGCTGTCTTTAATAACAAATGTAACTCGAGACGCGATCAAAGCTCGTTAGTATATTCTTTTGTTCGTTAAATGTACATAACTAATCAGATTTCTGTTGTCGCCCGGGAGGGACGTACGGCCCGATGCGGAGACGGCCGCTTTGCCCCCGCTTTTTAAATTTCTGATATATATTAGGATATTCACTTTAATAAAATGCTGTTAAAAGCAATTTGGACAAGGAGTAGTTTAGTTTCGTAAATTAAACATTATTTTTTGTAATATGTACAAGATAAAAAAAAATGCTGTGGGTTATCCTTAGGAGATAGACTTTTTTTAAATAAATAATTCCGTAGTACATTATTTTGATCCATCTAATAAAATTTGGCCAGCGTTTGCAATGTAAGCGCACAAAAAAAAAGATTTTTACGACTTCACATTACATATCTTTCAAATTCTCTGATTTCCTCTACTGTAATATGCATGTATTATACACATAAACCCGCCTCTTGAATCACCCTCTCTATTGGTGGCCGCATTAAAATTCGTTGCGTAGTATGAAAGATCTTTAAGCGTACAAGAAAAAAGCGACACTAGCTTTATTACACCTTGACTTCACCTTGTTACTTTTATGTACTGTTGATTTATCGAGGTTGCCTGTAAGAGATTACTTTTAGCAATAGGGCTGCCATATGTACATATCTTTTTTTTATATCCATGTATCATTGTGTAATTGGTGTGCAGTAAAGTATATTCTGTTCTAAAGGTCAACCGCTAGAAGGTTTCGCTCATCAGTTTACATTACTTCACCAAGTACCACCACTAACCATTATTTTTAGAGTCCAACGTGTAGGTTTGCTTACCTTCATTAGTGAAATTTTGAATATCTTTGTAATGAGTAATCGTCATTAGTACCTACAACGCTGGCACGGTCGCCTAAAAAACTGACCTTTAAGCGAACGAGGACAAAACAGGGTTATGTCTACTTATACCACGTTTTAAAATGTTTTTTTTCAACCTAGCTATCATTTATCAAGGTTGTCTTCAAAAATATTTTTACAGATTTACAAAGTTATCAGGAACTTATTGCAACCGTTTTAATTAAATTAATTAAGTAATCAGTCAAGTAGTCTATCACAGCTGAACTTTTATTCGAAAATTTAGCTTACATTAGACCCCCATTTAGACCCCTCAGCTCTCAGGTTTCTTCAACTAGTCAACTAGTGTTCTAACAATTTTTTCAAGGCATTATGGTCTCCGATAACCTCCGAAACCTCGCCTTTTGTATTTTCGTTCGACTTAAACAGATATCACTATAGTGTCGTTTCATCTTTTTGTTTTCGACAGAGTCATCGCTTTTTTTGCAATGTAATGTTTTTGATCTTTTCATAATAACTATCCTAAGACCATCTCGGCAGCTATGGACACACTCTCGTCCTTATCGGCGATCGCTACCTACTACACACAACATGCTATTGGAACAGAGGAAAACAGATAACGATGTTTTTACTCGATTGCTTTCAGTGTGGCCGTTCCCGAGTCGATGTGCAAAGTTGTTTACGTCTATTACTTCAGTATAATTTGTGTGCTCTAAAACGTGCGGTGAAGCACTGTGCGGGCTTAGAATAAATAAAAAAACGAATGAATGAATGACCCGTGAACTTTTGACCGCAGTTTTGAAAGTAGGACACGAGCACATCACATTTTGTCAAGATTTATAAGTATTTTGTGGCTGTTTTCCTATTAAGCTGACGAAATGCAAAATCTCGGCAGTGTTCTTTTTGTATGCAAGCCTCGATTTGTTTTTATTATAAACATTGTGAAGGTTGTTTTTGATGATCCTTATTCGATTTAATTATACAGACGGACTCTTTGATACCGGATATAATAATAATATGTTCAAAATACATACCAGCACGACTTGTAATATATTCTTAAATCATGTCAGAATTGCAGGTAGACGGCTCGTTGGGCCATGTAATGACGACAATCAAAAATCTGAACAAAGCAGCTACTCATATCAATATAGTTAAGGTGGCATATCGTGCCGCTAAAAATATTGTTTATACAAGTACATCATGCCAAAAGGAAATAATAATTGAAATATTGGGGCATCTTAGAGATTTCTGGCTATTGCAAGGTTTGTTGTGTCACCAGTCTATTAAACGAATTACCTTTGATATAACACCTAAATAAATATATTTACAAAATGTATTTACTTTACTTTCCTTTCACGCATTTGTTTGAATAAATCATGAAAGACAGGGCTGATTAAAAAGCAACCGTCAATTTGGTAATGGGGTGGCCAGCAGTTTGGTAAACATAAATATAAACATTTAGTTCTATCACACTATCTATCACATTACATTAAAAAAATGATTTTATAAGATACAGTTTATTCAATCTGAAATTGTAAGGGCGTCCGTATTCTTAAAAAAGGTGAGAAAGAAACTATCAATACTAATTATTAAATGTAAGTATCATTCACAAAAGTATTTTAAAATAAATAAATATATTTATTTATTAAATATTTGACCGATCTGTCACATTTTGATGTCATGTCAATCATTCACTTACGGACACATTAAACATCGATCCTAACATCGATCACATTTTCTTTGATATTTAATACAACTTAACGTTGCCTTCGATTATACTTCTCACGACAGCCCTAGCTTGCTTTTGACCCCTTTGACCCCCTACAAACCCGAACCCAATAATATTTCTTTGGATGTTGTACCCGTCTTTTGAATTTCGCCGAATCAATACATAAAATGTCTCAATTGTGGTACTAATGCGATGTTACAAATGATACTGTTGGTAGCCTCGTTCAGGTGGACATGTGAATCTTAAATGGATAATGTTGCTCTAGTAGTAGTTTTTGTGTTAACTCAGATGGATATATAACAAATTCTATGTGTAGAAAACGAACTACACATATACACATTTTAGCTATTGGATCCTATATAAGGCTTCGGCTTGGGCTACATATATAGTAGGTAATATTGTTGTCTGTACATTGACCGTAGTCCAAATAAAGTTGTTGGTGTGCATTTGCAAATTGGGATGTTTTGCTTAGCTGTAAGTAATACACATAAATTTGCTAAATGGATTTGTTTGTCACTATTTGCAATATCGTAACAAATTTATTAATGAATACATTTGTGGAGTTAGTATTTCTTTATTTTTCGTTTTCGCGTTGTTCCTTACATTTGGAAATAATAATAAAAATTAGTGACGTAATGGGAAATTATTATTTGACTACTCACATATTTAGGTCGTTGACCTATGTTATGTTTTTACCTGTCAGAAAGTTTCGTGAATGCGATGCCTCGGTTGTATTATATGTATTGATCAAGCAAAATTTGGTAATCCATGTTCAGGTGCAAGTCATCTTGACAATGGATACATTATCCAAATGAAATCAATACATACATGTTTTAATTATAAAAATAGAAGAGTAAATTAAATATCTTCTCTTTATATTGGTGGCCTTTTCGCTCTACGGTTATTTCCTATAGGCAACCATTTTATAGCACCGAACGATATCTCAGAAATCTAAAGTATTTCTTTCAGCCCAACAAAAAAACACTTTAAAGTTAATACAATAATGACAAAAATGTATGCTATGAATAAGTTGTGTATCTGCACAGTAATTAGAAGAAACTTATTTATACGTCAATAATTACTGTTACAGAGCACCTGAGATCCTGATGGGCGCGAATCACTATACAGCAGCGGTAGACGTCTGGTCGGTGGGCTGCATATTCGGCGAACTACTCGGCAGAAGGATTCTATTTCAGGCACAAAGTCCCGTGCAACAGGTAATCCATTAACAATTACTTATGTTTTAAATATCCTATTTATTTATATCATTCTGAAGCCTTAGAAACTGTATATTTTTACATCTTACTAACATAGCTGGTCTACATATAAATATTTTTTAATGTAGACCTACACATTATTCAATTAAATTTACGAGTATATAAAAAAGTAGCAAGACGATTGGTGTTCTAACCACAGAATTGCTTCACGCAAATTGATCGATAGCATCGCAATTGTCATTCATTCGAATAGTGTTCGAACAAATACACTATGTATTTGACTCGATTAGTCGCAGTAACCAATACAGCGTATAGGTTCGCTAAATAACAGAGACAGAAAGACAGAAGAAGACAAAATGCACTAGAACTGCAAAATTAGGTTCTCATCTATTTAAGAAACAGTCGTGTCACTGTTGCTTTGGTTTTAATTATTTTAGTTACACAATAATGTGACTACAACCATAGAATGCGTTATTATGATGGTTTTAGTGAATTGATAATTAATTTTCTATAGCTCATTGTTAGTTGAAGGTAAATCAACAAAACTGATACAGATATTGGAAAAGTATGAGTATTTGGTTTAAGAGAATGCTATTCTCCTGAGTCAATAAGCTATAGTCAGGCAGGCGGGTCTCGTCTGATATTAGACTGTCATGTATATTCGAACCTATCGACAATTGTCGTATTACGTCAGGTGAAAACGGGAAAGCCTCTGCCTATTTGAGTTTTATCAGGGCAATATGTTTTTTCTTAAATTCAGCTTTATATCATTTCATTGCTTACTCTTTCACTTTGTTTTTTTTTCGTCGTCTTCTACACTTTTATGCGCCAGGTTCTATAGATAGAACTCTTTTCGCCACATTTTTGTTATCCTTTCGCCTTACATGTCTCTCTGGACATAGTCCTCAACTTTTCACTCACTGGCGTACTATTCCCTCTACTGTAAATATATACCTTAACTTTTCCACAATATATATATATATATATATATATATATATATATTTGCTCTTTTCTGCAAATCTGTATAAGCTATTGAACTTGACGGTACATTTTCCAGTTGGAGCTGATCACGGAGTTGCTAGGCACGCCTACGCTGGAGGATATGCGGCACGCGTGCGCCGGTGCTCGCGCTCACATGTTGCGACGTGCACCGCGCCCTCCCGCGCTCGCCGCGCTTTATACGCTGTCCGTGCAGGCCACGCACGAGGCTGTGCACCTACTTGCACAGGTAATAATAAATATTATAAGGCCTTTTATCTATCTATCTATCTACTATGCAATAAATCGCGTATTGTATTGCATATTCGTGTAATTCAGCTCCTTAGTGGTCAACGCCTTTCTCTGGGTGTATTCTTCTCGGTTTTGTCATGAAATTAAAATTTTCTTATAAAAAGTAATCATTCACCTATAATATAATATAATATAATATAATATAATATAAATAATATAACCCTATTATTTCAGATGCTTGTGTTTGACCCAGCGAAGCGTATCTCAGTCGTGGACGCACTCGCGCACCCGTACTTAGAGGAAGGTCGGCTGCGCTATCATTCATGCATGTGCAAGTGTTGCTACAGTGCGCCACAGGCCGCTCGCCATTACTCGCCCGACCTCGAACCTGTTGCCCCGCACGCCTTCCACGACGGCTGGGAGAGGAAGCTCACATCTGTACACCAGGTCAAAGGTACAGTAGAATATAAGATCTTTTCAAATCTCTTTTACTTTTAGAATTTCTACGACTTCTTGTGTTGTAGATTTATTTAGACCTAAATTTTTCAGAAAAGGGGCAAAGTATTTTATTAAATTATTAAAGTAACGTGAACTTTAAGAATGTTGGTTCAATTCATTTGCAGCTTGTTGGTAATAGCAAACAGCCACAACAGAAGTATTGGCACATTACATACGATTCTTCTGCAGCCCATTCTATGCCATTAATGGGTCATTTTTTATCAGAATCCATATCTAATACATTTGCCATGTATGATCCGCAGAGGAGATTCACAAGTTCATAGCGGAGCAGCTTCAGACATCTCGCGTACCGCTGTGCATCAACCCGCAATCGGCGGCATTCAAGAGCTTCGCAAGGTAAGGCGCCGCCACCAACAACCAACTGCAACCAACCGCAACCAACCGACACTAGGTGATTTCTTTGCGATACGTAACCTAACACGCTCAGCTAATTAGCGACCACCCGCACCCATATGGGCCACGCCGCTCTAAACGTCGACAAGTGCAGACAACACTGTTCTAAAATATACCTTATCGTTTTCACTATAGCGATTGTTTTCGCAACATCGTTTTGGTACCTCAAGATCAGTAGACCTCTAAAATGTTGCTTCATTCGATTTTCAGCGATTTTTTTGCGCTAGTAGTATCGCATTTTTATTTGAACATAGTAGAGGTCGTATTCTATGAAGTTGCCAGTGTTGTCTCCACAGCTGGCGATCGATAAACAAAGATAATAAATCAGAGAAAGCAAGCAGTCATCACAACTAGGTGTGGCACGGTGCGTTCTGTTAGTGTGTGTATTAGCGTGTTGTGGACACCGTCGCGAGTACCGCGGTATCACTCAAGTACTTGGTTGTCGCAGAAAAGAGCCTATGTCGCCTCCCCACCCCTCCTCGATCCACCCCTTCTCTCCTGCCCGCCATTTAGTTTGCAATGTAGGTAACAGTTGTGCCTCTCTGTACAGTAAATACAGTAACACTCATGACGGGTCGATTTTGCTAGAGCCCGACTTGTGCATGGGTTGTTTTTGTTCTTAATTTTTGATTACAATTTTTCTCGCTGCGATGCGTTCGATCTTCTATGTACGTACATACGCCGCCGTTTTCGAGCAAAATCAACCCTCTTGAAATGGTGGTGTGTTTCGCTTTAGCACCGCTGACCTCTTACAGTAGTTTTAATAACGTTCTGCTTTTTTGTGTGTTTTGCGACAGCTCTAGAGCGGGTTCGAAAGCAAAAGTTTGTTCCCCTTTCAAGACGGCGGCAAAATATCTACTGCTATCGCCCGTGATATTTCTGTGCGCTGCCTAGTGCCGCTTCGAGCAGTAAGCGACCAATCGCACGCTATACCTTTTGACCCGACTCCTTTCGTAAACATTGGATGCATTTAATTAGAACAACATTTAACTAGACGTCGTTCGATGCCGCAACACTACTTATGAAAAAAAAATACACAGCATACCTTATTGTATCTACATTGTATATACTACCTAAAGGGTTCAGTACAATGTTCAATTGTTGCTTAAATTCTTATACTTATGTAATTAAAACACACCTATGAATTACATATAAGTTAATTACATACATGAAAAACTTATATAAATCATTACGAAAAGTGTACATTCATATATTCCATAATAATAAAAATAAAACCTTATTTTTATCAATTTCACTATCTTGTTAAAAAAGTACGTAACAAAGAGGGCGTACATATTATCATATTTTATTTTACGTCTGTGCTCGCAAGAAAAAAAAAACACAATACTGTTATTTTTTTAAAACAAGGAGAAGCGCTCTAAAGATAAACATTTTAAGTTTTAACACTCCGGCGTTGCCTTCGATCGTCGTCTCGTTTCAAAAGGGTTGATCGTTAGATAGTGCTCGCTCCGTTCTTACGGTTCGGTTGCAGTGCATGCAAACATGCAGAAGCCTCACACTTAAGTTCATTAGCTATTACTCATTTCATACACATTTTAAAAATAACCTTTTCGTAAAACTAGATAATTTTGAACTTAAGTTTAAGGCTCTATGATTTCAAAATCGAAAAAATATTCGATTTTGGAAATATATTTTTGAGGTTTTATTCCGGTACGGACATTAGTGGGTTTATAATATGACATTTAGAAGTTGTTGCTTTCCAAATATGAACTTTAAGACTCAGGTTTAAGGTTTATATTTGTAAAGTAAGTTTTTCTATTTGGAATATTTTCGTAGTGCATGCTTAGAAGCACAGTGCCATGCACATGGTTGTGGTGATCTTATATTAATTTGTTCAGTAGTTATATAGTAGAGTTTGACATGTGATGCAGTTTTGCTATTGGATTTCTCTTTTATTATCATAGATTGTTTAAACGATGATGAAATTTTAAATCTTGCATGAACAGTTTGGACGTTGGACTCATGTTTAAATTTTTAAAATATAATGTTTGGTAATTGGTAATTAATTGTTTAATGTTTAGTATAGACGTATGGAAATACATATTAAAAAAATGCCAAACTAAAGTTGTTGCCAAGTTAGGGGTTTTAGGGGGGAAATAAATATTTCGGGGAAAACAATGTTCTTAAGCAGTCATTTTTTGGAGACATGGCTCAAGTGATTATGCGGCAAACTTTCATTTCTTTAAACAAAAAGCAGTAATGTGCCAATCAAAGATTTTTCTGTTTACTGGGGAAGATGTTCTAAGGTTAACAACACAGAGATTTGCAAGTAAAATGTATTGAGTTATGGGTGTGCATGAGTCCAACATCTAGTCTCGGCGGGCCCGGGTGTGGGTAGTGCTTGTGAGGGAGTCGAGGCGTACTAACGGCGTGTGGCGTGTTATCAGCTCCACGGTGGCGCACCCGTCCGAGCTGCCCCCCTCGCCGCACCAGTGGGAATGACGCTCGCCCGACACTCTCTCCAGATAATCTACCTTCTCGTCATCTCTACGGCTGCGGCTTTAACTGCGTTCACTCGAAGAACTACACACGTTGTGAGGCGACTCCGTTCATAAAACGTTGCCGCGCAACTATACCTAAGGCGATTGTATTTAATTTAAGCTGTATACGCGTTAAACTTGAGTTTTAATTGTATAATGGTATAATGCTACAAAAGAGATAAATTGTTAGCCTTTAATGGTGTAGCTTCGTCTACGTTGTGTGTTGTACGTCATTGCGTATTCATTAGACTTTGATTAAACAACTGTGTAACACCCCGGGAATAGATATACTTCGTATTAACTATGTAAGATAGTTAATACCATAATAACCTTGTAATCGATAGTGACTTAATGCCTTTCATTTTAGAGTTGAAATTATTTTGTAGTTAAGTTTATACTGATTGCCAAATTGAGGGGGAATTTATAATTTGTGAAAAATAAGCGAATGGTTAGGTATCAATTCTGCCATCCAAGAAAATATCGAGAAAAAAAATATCAAAGGTGCACTGATAAATAATTATAATTTGAGTTCGTCTGAAGTCGTCATATAAGATTAGAATTTGAGCTACAAATACATTGATATTGTTTTTTAAAGTATATCTGATCTATGTACAGTTGCATTTGGTGTTACAAGTTAGGTGATAAAGTAAAACTTCTAATCTTATGACGAGTTCAATGTAATCATTCTGTTCTTTTGGAAGTATTGTAAAATGTCTTAAAATATGTATGTAAATACCGCATCTTACCTCATCGCTGTATTTAAGGAACATTACAGAATATGTTTTCGAAATAATGATATTGTAACAGCATTTTACTATCACGAAGAATTTATATTATCAAATTATTCACTGCTTCGTGATGTGTACTAAAAATTAAATTTTTGAATTTTACTTATAATGTAGCGAGTAGCGATTGTGTAGGATAGGATAGATGATTTGGTATATTGCGAACATAATAACTGAGGACATCCTCAGATCAACAAATATAAAGGCGATCTCAGTAAAATTTTATACAACGAAACGTGTCGTTGAACGGCAGAAAAAGTGCGACAATTATCGAAAAATGGAAGAGTTTTTGTGGATACGAAGAGATCATTAAGTCGATTACGATTTGTACTGCTGACGGTGACTTCTCGTGACATTGCGATTGCTGCTACACATCTTTGTGACGTGTATACCGTCAGCGCGAGAATACGTCACGCACGGAATGACGTCACCGTCTCAGGTTCCCGCGCGTCCGCTCAGATGACGAGACGTTTAACTTGTAGTTCTTAGGTTACTTTTCATTTATCTCCTCGATTCCATGTATTTGTAAGCGTGTTGTAATTAACTTTGTGTGTGCCTGTTGGTTTGTACGTTTGCAAGCAATAAAAGTTTGCAATATTAAAGTTTTCATTTTGTACGACGGATTTAATGTGTTCCGATTTAATCTCACTTGGCCGGCGACCGCCGTACACCGACGTATTGTTGACCGGCCCGCTATGTATTATATTATATACTTAGTTTAACCCTAAACACATTGTATGTAACATCGACTGAACATTTTTACGTAGTTAGGTTAGTATAGTATTATAGATTACTAATTTACTTGATGCAATGATTTATAAATAGTAGATGAAAAAAAACCCGTATGAGTAACAATCGCATACGATCATTGCGGTAGTGAGATATTTTATAGTAAAGTGTTTGTAAATGTAATAAATACGCGCGTATTTCAAGCATTTAATAGTTAAATTAGAGTTTTGACATTAAATATACAGATATGTTAATGTTAGTGTGCGTGAGGTGTTTATCTGAGTCATGTCTCACCATCATCGTCCCCTGTCAAAGTGTAAAAGTTATTTCGTATTAAATAGAAAAGTAATTACTTCGAATGCTGCGAAAGTATGTTTTTATCCGACGATTGCGTATAACATCATTATAATATCTAATGGTAATTGTAAGTTTAAATGTAAATATATATTCTGATTTGTTTGACTAATTATGTATAATTTGAAAATTGCTTTTTTAACAAAAAGAGTTTAATTGTGGTTTAAAGCAAACTTAGTACTGTTCGCATTGTCTATGGCACCTCAAGATAAATGGTAACGCATTATCTTAAATTAGGAAAAAAACGTTATACTTCGACAGGGTTTGTCATAAAAAAATGATGTTTTCATGTATGTTTAAGTATAATATCTCTATGTATCACGCTGCTAACATGATAACTAGATTAGAGAGTATTGATGTGTGTGTTGCGAGACGTCGTAGCCTTAAAACTAGTTCAAAACTACATAAAATATAAAAAAATACTTGTAAATAAAACAAAGGCATAGTATTAATGTTAGGATTTAGTAAGGGAAGAGTAACTATGTAGCAAGCTCATGTCTGTAGTTTCGGGTATGAACCGTGGCGCGGCCGAACTGTAACACAATGACTAATAAAACTATATTTACCTTTATTTGAGTTCGTGCCTACTTTTATAGTGATTTATTCGTATAAAAAAGGACAAAGATTTCTAAATAAAAAAAACATTAACGATAAAAGAACATTAAAACATAATTGGCTTCATAAAATACTCCATCCAGAAAGCGATCTATGCGGGATACCTGTCACCTGAATGGGATTTACCTGACACATGCTGATACTCGACTTTTCTTTTAATATAGCCAACTGTGCTTGGAAAAAATTGCTCTAAGCGATAAGGACGCCCTTAGTGCGATTAATTTATGTCTGTAAAACCCTCGTATACAAATAAAGTATTATCCATCTGTCTGTCGAACCCGTGTACTCAAGATTGCCAGCATCATAATGTTACAGCTCCAATTTTTAATTCATTTGTTCTGATCTTGAGAAACAATATAAAAATATCTTGTATCGTGCTAACTTGTATCGTGTATTGCACCACGTCCAGAAACGATTTGACCAGAATCTGTCTGTAGAGCAATTATATAAGTCATGTTTTGTGTTCGGTGATGTCAGCGGTTCAATAGGCCACGATGGTACAGGGACGCGGATTCGATTGTCGATAGTTTTAGCTTCTACGAGTATGTTACTGCCCCTATTAAAATTTACTACCTCATTATATTTCGATCTGGTAGACTTAAAATATATTCAAAATAAATTTCATCAATATAAGATTGGCGGATAACAGTTTTCTTTTAATATAAACACGCGTTAATTTTTTAATTGCATCCAAAGGATTGTAACTTTTTTGAAAACATAAAGAGATTGAATGCATGTGTGGTGTCTAATCCGGAAAGGAAATCTCTTTCAATAAATTATATGAATTACGGATTTTAAAAAAACATTTACAACAGCGTTCCTAAAAAAATGCTAATAAAAGTTAAACAGTTTAATTGAAAATGGAAGCTAAAACTGTCTTCGAGCGCCAACAGATCCCCACCTTGCCTTATGTCAGTAAACTGTCACTGTGATCCGTTAGACGTAATTTTGGACTCCAACACCCCCCCCCCCCCTCCCCCCTCCCCCGCCCTGCGCGCCTCCCATGTATATAACATACGAGTGATCATTAGGTAATATTATTGTCATCGGTTTACTAGAAATCCGCTTTATTGTATAACTGCTGTATACTACGTGTCCTCCGATGTGAAAAGACGTTTGGATGTATGTAAATAAAGATAATATTGTAATAAGTAGATAATGTTTAACAGTTAGAGGATATGCGGTGAGTGGATGACATTTTGACAAGCGAATAATCTTTGGTTAATTTGAATGGCGTTGTCAAAATCGATAACCATTAACACTGGTATCGAACATCACAATCGATCGTACCGATTCGAGTAAAGCATTAATACAGGCCGTATTAGTTAAGTACTTTGTAATATTTCCCTCCTTAAATCCGTTTTTCTTTACGTACTATATTTGCATAAAATATATTTGTGAGATATGTGACGTCATCCGCACACCGCGCCCGCTCGCTCGTGCGGAGGAGAGCCTCGAGCGCGCGTATTGCGGCGCCTAAACGAACACGCTTCTTATTTTATGTAATTGTACGTATGTGTTTCCAGACTTTCAGAGATCTCGTATTAATTTAAGTTTTAAGTACACGACTGTTCATTTTACACACAAGTTATCTTTAGTCGGTAGAACATGGCGTTTTGTATTCTACTTTGTACCCACGGCCAGTCAGCCAAGGCTTTCCTTTTAATTGTAAGTGACCGCACACTCAATAACTCCCGTGCAAACGGACGTCTTATGTCTTTATTTGTCATGTAAATATTAGTCCTAATCGATAAGATTCTTAGGTTTCGTGTTAACAGTTAGACCACTCTGTTCTTAGTTTGTGTTCAGTAATCCCACATTAATTTTATGTTATAATGTCCACAATATATAAAAAAGGAAAAAAAAATGAATTGTATTCTTTTGTTTTACTGTAATGACATTTGATTTAATTTACTTTAATTACCAGTCGTAATGTAAATAGGTATTTTGTGCACTGATAGTCGTGTTTAAGTTACATTAGATATTAAAAACCGATGGCTGTATCGTTTCTCTTAATATAAAGCCGAAGACACAACGTTCACTATAAGACTTGGTAGAAATGTTTGCTTTGCGATATTGTACTCTATCGACCTGTCCTAATGTATAAAATATTTTAGTTACGTATCCGATGGACGTCTTAGTATTGTGATTATTTTGTTCTAATGTACACAGCCAGCCAGAAACTCAAGTGTAAATATAATGGATACATGTTTCTGTGGTGTACGAATAGTTGCATTTTACCATTGTTGCGAACTGCCAAAAGTATTGTAATAATTTTGTAGCGTAATGCGCCGTGCGCCACACAAATACATGATTCGTAACTTGAACTTATCTTCCATTACTATAAACTGTTGCTCAATCAGGAAGAACATCATTTGGAGCTGAAACCCATCATGGCTAGTTGTAAGAGCGATTCTTGTGTGGCGCAAGGCGCGCGCGTAGAGCGAGCCGGCGTAGCGACCCAAGTCCGGCGCGACACTGTGTAACAATAAACTACTGCATAATTATATTTATGGCTTTTATTTCTACAATATAACAACACTGACACCACATTTTCTAAACGAAAAACGTTCTTTTGGAAGCAGGATGTCTCCAAACATGATCAGACATCAAGAAATACATTTATTTAATTATATATGTTTTAAGACTACATTTATTGGATTACAAACATGGGTGGATAGATTCAGCCATGATTATATTATTAATGGGTAGGATTTTATCAGTCACATAATAAATGTATTTTCAATTGTTTAGTACATAATATTTGTTCATAAAATAGTAGATCTGTCACCTTAATTAAATTACCAAATAATATCAAAACGGTAACTTATTAATTAATAATTACTTGACAATAAAATCTGTCATCAAATATTTGTATTGGGTTCCGAAATAATAGGTGTAACTAAAATTGAATCACCAAGCAATGTAAAGATGTTTACATAAATTTGTATTTATTATCTCTGAAAAATAATATCTATTATTATCAAAAAACTTTAAACGGTCATCTTTTTTATTAAACGATTGATCCACTTGCCTCGCACAAACAAAACAAGGTTCATAAAAAATAACCACGAAAGTTAACCTTTCTGAAATATAAACTTTCTAACCTAATATATCCACGTCAAGACTTGGGTCTTACTTAAGGCTTATAAAGTTCAGTTAACACAAGAACTCAAGCCGGCCGATCATCAACAACGTCGTCGTCTTTGCTGATTGGGTACTTGAAATGCATGAAAATGATCCGGAATTCCATCGAAAAATCATCTTGACTGATGAGGCCCATTTCCACCTAGGAGGCTACGTCAACAAGCAAAATTGTCGCATCTGGGGCTCGGAAAACCCAAGAGTTATTGTTGAGAAGCCTCGCCATCCTCAACGTGTGATTGTTTGGTGCGGTTTATGGTCCGGCGGGGTCATTGGACCTTACTTTTTCGAAAATGAGGTTGGATCAACACTTACGGTGAATGGATTGCGCTATCGAGATATGATTAATGATTTTTTATGGCCGGAGTTGGATGGTATTGATCTGGACAACGTTTACTTTCAACAAGACGGTGCTCCCTGCCACACAAGCAACGAAACCATTGCTCTTTTACGGGAAAAGTTTCCTGACCGTGTTATCTCTCGAAGAGGTGATCACAATTGGCCACCGAGATCTTGTGATTTAACACCTTGCGACTTCTTCCTTTGGGGCCACGTGAAAGATAAGGTCTACGCCAACAGCCCAGCGTCGATTCAAGACCTCAAAGATGGAATTCGTGAGGCTATCGAGGACATAGGGCAGCCACTTTGCGATTTGGTTATGCAAAATGTCATTAAAAGGATATGGTCGTGTCGTGGTCCTGTAAGCGTGGTCGTGGTAGCCATTGGGCTGATGTTATCTTCCATTATTAACGGCATACCTTCCTCTTTATTATAAAATAAACAGCCGATTATTTATCTTAAAAAATTGCATTTTTCTTTGAATACTAAAATAACACCTCTTATTGGAACACCCTGTATATGTTTATATTATATATATGTAGTTACATTATGTACTTCAATCCAAACTCCACTGTCGTGTAAACGGGGCCAAAATATGTAGAATTGAAGATACTTATATACAGAGGTGTCGGTAACGGTAACAGTGTCGCAAGTTCGAATTTTCACTTCAAAAAATATAAACAGCCGAATTGTTATCCTCCTCCTCCTTTTCGAAGTCGTTTAAAAAGTGCTCATTTAAAAAAGATCGTGTGTGGGAGAGCAGTACTTCAGCACCAATAGGCCAGCTCGACCGGAGTGATTAATCAGTGGTAAGCCACTATTTCTTTGCTTTTTACGGTGGTTGCCGGATGATATTGGTGGAGAACTCAATGGTTGGCAAATAGGAATATGATTTAAAAGTGCAATAATTTATATGTCCATTGGCCACGCACGCGTGGCTTCTGAGTGCAGGTGGCCAGTCGTCGGTTACCCCCTTACCACGTGACGGTGTCCCGACTGCTCTTTAGATCATCAACAGCTGGACATAGGTCTCTGCTTTCTAAAGAGAAGCCTATGACCTCCTATACCACAAACAAAAAGATCAATTAGATTTTTAGACTATTATCATTTTGATGACAGACCTTATGTTCAGGTTATAGAAAAAAGTGATCAAACTACCTATTTAAGATACATATTTACATTAATATGATGATTCATTTTAGTGTCCGGTATTATAAATAGGGTATTGTAGATTAGTGACAAATCTAAACTTGGTGACAGAAAAGATAGTTGTTAATATTAATAATCAGTTTCTTTGTTAATAGAACCACCCACCATCAATACAGGTCACACAATATTTTTTGAAGAGGATTTTGTGGTACTATGTCTCCTGAAATTCTTTCTCGCAAATGAAGGCGTATAAATGTGTACAGTCGACGTCGTTCAACTTGCCATCGTTCTTGAAAATAGAGCCACAGTACTCGTGGCCTAATGCGTTGTTAGGTTCATTGTCCGACCAGGGGTGGTAACCTGCTTCTTCCAATGTTTGGTCTAAAAGTTGAAAATATTAATTATTTAGACTATGAATACACTTACATACATTGATTATTTTTATTTATTTATTTAACACGATCTGCGTGTTGTCGGGTGGTGTCAAGGTTTTAATTGTAGGTATGTTTCCACCTCAACGATCTGGACAGAGGATCAGTCAATTACTAGACAATTGACATGACATAGGTCACACTATTACACACATAAAAACAGAAATGATCAATACAGTCACAGGGACCAACGGACAGGAATCGCACACAGAAACGTCATTGTACACATGCAGATGGTGCAAGAGCGTCTCTGTCGAAGGTGTTCTAGAAGTACAAAAACAAAGTCACAAAAATTGAAATACCTCCAGAACTGTAAAAGTTAGATCAATGAAATAAAAAACAGAATAAAGACTTTTTAGTTGCGCTTCTAATAGCATATTATTTAAACTGGTTGATGAAAAAACCTTGATTAGAAAAACAAAATTTAAAAAAATGACTATTTTTAAAAACAAAATTTTTTGTTTCATTTCATTATAAATGGTTTCCATTTCTATTCCGTCACAAAAAAAAATATCATGAACGTCTTCCACGTGCATAATTATTATTCTGTGAGGTGAAGCATGGCAGTCACGCTAGAGGAATGTACCAGAATCCTAACTTTTGGGAACTTGGGCGGAGCCAGCGTGAAAAAGCCAGAAACATTGGTGTATCTTTGTCGACTGTTCAGCGGGTAGTCCAGCGGTACCAAGAGACCGGATCACACCTTAGAAGACCAGTAAATGGCAGACCAAGATGCACAACGGCCAGGGAAGACAGACAACTGGTGGCTACAATGCTCCGAAATCGTTTTCAAACTGCTGTTGGTCTAAAAACTCACTTTATTCGCTTTGGAGGTGGCAATTTAAGCGCTCAAACAGTAAAAAGACGTCTTGCTGAAGCAAATTTGAAACCATTGAGGCCCGCAAATGGCCCCAAACTGGAACGGGGACATCGAATTGCAAGACAGAGATACGTGCGCGAGCACCTAAACTGGACACTAGACGATTGGTCTAGGGTAATGTTCACGGACGAGTCTAAATTCATGCTTTATAAGCATGATGGTAGGCAGTTGGTGTCCAGAAGACCAGGGGAGCGCTTCCATCAAGCGTGTGTGGAGGAAAAAGTGGCGTACGGTGGAGGCTCCGTACAAGTTTGGGCTGGGATTTCTACTGAGGCCCGCACCGAGCTGGTACTCATTCAAAATGGAACTCTAAATGCAGAGAGGTACGAGATACTCAATGAACATGTAGGTCCTTTCATGGCCAGGATGGACCGGCATGGCATATTAATGCATGATAATGCGCGTCCCCATACCGCCAGAATTGTACATGACTACCTTGAAGAGGTCGGTATCGAACTCATGCAGTGGCCAGCGCGAAGCCTGGACTTAAACCCCATCGAGCACGCCTGGGACGAGCTTCAGAGATGCGTGAAAGGTCGAAACCCCCCATCAATCACGCTTCCCGAGCTCAAACAAGCACTGGTGGATGAATGGGAAGGTATTCCTCAGCACCGGCTCCGAAATTTGGTGTGCAGCATGCCTAATCGCCTGGAAGCTGTCAGAAGAGCTCGTGGAAGCAATACAAAGTATTAAATGAGGAAAGTGATGATAAACAGCAAAAAAACAATCATAAAAAAATGTAATCTTAAGAAAAATATGACTAATTTAGTTTTTTTTAAATTTAGAGATAAGTTAAGAGTTAGAGAGTTTAGATTTAAGTTTTATTTTATTTTTTATCTGTATAATTAAATTCTCAATTGAACAGTCTTCGTTTCATTAGGATGGCATACGTAGTTCGGGAGATATTCGGGTTTATGTGACTGACCCGTTATTTTTGGAACCGAGTTTAGTTGCTCTCCAAGCTTTTGTTTCGGGGCCCAGAATACGACAATGATCCAGGATTTGGCGAGTCTGGTTATTACATTGAAGCGATTGGCATCTGACACATCTGAAGACAAGTTGGATCATGGTTATACATCTAGCTGTGCTGGTTTCCTCACGATATTTTCCTTGCTGTGGTAGTGGTGTAAACTTCTCTAGTGAATCTATGGAGAAGTTTATTAACTTCTTTATCTCTAGACTTGTTAACAGCAGTTAAATACCCTAGAAATGTGGTTTATGAGCAACAGCCAACGCAAAACCTACTTGAACGACCAATAGGAGCATATTGCCTCATCTTTTTTCTCAACTACAAAATAGCAAAAAGCCTAAATTTGATAAAACTTACTAAACACAGTTTTAAAGACTCTCGTAGCATTTGTCGCCTGCCCAGGCGGTGGTTCATCAGCTCTGAAACCCGCAAAGAAGAACCAGGATGTCCTTGCGCTTTCTAATTGCGTTGTCATAGTTAAGTTCTGCACCACCGCTCGCTCCGTTTCTGAGTTAAGCACCACGAGATGAGCCCCTTCCGCTTGACACTCTGAGTAGGCCTCGCTCCAAGTATAGACTATGTGAGGTATTTTGTAACAACTACGCACAGAATCGAAACATTTATAATCTGTAAACAAGTCGGATTATTTGTTAAGGAAGAATCACTCATTACTATCGAGGTAGACATTTGTGTCTATACTAGTTATGTGCCAGATCATTGATTATATCCGCTGATACGATACGAGGTATTAGAGTCTAGATCTGCAAATACGGATATAGACTTAAGTTATTTCTTAAGTAATGCCTATACACGTGACCTTAAAAGATTTGGTGTCTGATCTCCTTATAAAGATAATAGAAGGTGAGTCCATGATGCTAAATGGGGATTTGCTCGAGCGTCATGGGGACCTATTGCATTTGAATGATTGGGTAATAGAATGAAGAAAAGTTTTATAATGTTTCCACTTTCAGAGATGGGAAAAGGTTCTACAGGTATTCAAAAATGTAAGGGGAGGAAATCGAAAAAAAAATATTCGGGCGCGTCAGATATTTTGCGGATATGTTATTTGGACGCCAAAAAATGCTCCCATTGAAAGGTCTGACGATATTAAAGTGACACATGCTGGTAGCGAATTATCGAAAATGCAAACTTCAATTATTTTTTTTTTTAAATGTGACAAATAAATAGTGTAGGACGCCCACAGGCCAGGTGGAGAGACGATTTGCGCAAGATGGCTGGCAGGAGCTGGATGCGAAGAGCCCAAAATCAATCAAAGTGGCGTGCAATGGGGGAGGCCTATGTCCAGCAGTGGCCATAGGCTGATGATGATGATGAAAGACATGAAAAATTATGTAGACATTTAAAGAAAATTTCTTTCACTGTTTGTTTAAAAAAAAAAAAAAAATTTAACTTTGTGACCCTTCCACTGCTTTCGAGCGTGAGCGTATGTTACGCTCAAATGGTCAGATTTCTTAAATACACACTAATGTACATGTAATTGACTCAACTTATCTTAATCTTACACGCTCGAGAATTTTTGGCCATCAATTTTTTTCAAATTAATCTGATGGACTGCCCTAGACGCTCCTTTACGTGAAATTGAATGAATTGTCAAGTAAAATCGAGAGACCTTTATCGAGTGAAAATCAGCTTCTACAGAAGATATTTTATCTTTACCATATTACCACCTACCGTTTTTTTATTATTTCATGTTAAAGACTACAAAGAAGACATTTTTTTAATTTACCTTTACCATATGCACCACAGCGTGGATCATACGGGGCATCAGAGGCCTTCACTTTACAGATGAAGGGGAAATAATTGTAGCACGGTATAGTCTTCACATCGCCATTTCGTGTCGCTACTTCGCAGTCATTGCTGTCATATGTACTCCACCTCACTGATCTTACAGCAGCCGGGTTCACTGGAATCAAGGTAGTTCCATTCAGTTCGTACAGCTAATCACTTGATTAATTAATACAAGAAAACAATACCTAACTGTGGGTTAGTCAAGTAGTCTGTTGTAATGTTGTGTTAAATATAATAATCTGAGGCCGGAGAAAAATTAGTGTCGATCGTTAATTTTTTAACTGAAGAAAATAGGAAACAGTGACAAACATAACACTGATAGATCTCATAACACTAATAAATCTCTAAATATATCACATACTGGTAATTAAAAGGTAGGTAGGTACTGATGACATGACAAAAGTAAGTAGCTGGGGTGGATGGGATGCGGATGGCGGAGGACAGAGTGCTATGTCGCACGTTGGCAAATACCTATGTACAACAGTGGACTGCAATAGACTGATTGTTTTATTACTTTCAATTAAACTTGTTCACAATACTACTTTTACTCTACCGTAATTCTGATTCCCAAACTTGTATTTTGAGCAACAGTGTTTAATCGTGTAAAAAGTAGAAGGTAAGGAAAAGGAAGGATATACGTTAATAATAATGAAGAAACTGATTCAGGGTGTTAAAACAAAGGACCGTTATTTGCTAAAATCCCTGATTTAGCCCCCCCTGATTTAGTCCCTGCTAGCGATTGGTGTGTAATGTCTACAATATCTAGCAAAAAGATACAACATAAAGTATCAAAAGCAATAGGTTTAATATTTAAGCTCGGCTAAAACTTACTTACAGTCAACTATTGGCTGTTCTTCCGCCGATTCATGCGCTCGTCCGTCGTTTGCTACCCATACGTAATCTCCGAGATCCGGATATTGCTTTAACATTAAATGTAGCTGTACAAGGTCATGGTCAGAGTTGGGGGTCATTAGTAGTGCCCCTTCAACTTTACACACATCCTTAACTTGCCAACGCCGGCGGCTTTCGATATGAAGCTTGTAAAACGCGTCTGTCTCGTAGTTGTACACATAGTCTGATCGGTATCGCTTTGTAATCCGGGGGCTCTGATTATCCGGTGCCACTGTTGATACTGAAATACGACAGTTGAAACTGATTACATTTTAATTAAACTGATTAAAGTTGATTACATTAGAACAAGAGCGTTGATTTAACTAAAGAGAGAAAAAAAAAGATTCTAGAATAAGGATCGAATTTTGTATTCGAGTTCTTGCATATCAAATTTTTCTTATTTAATTTCTGCTTTCTTTGCTATCAATGATTATTTTCCTTTTCTCTCCGCCATAGTGCGATCTTGATTGTTGAGTATCGTGGTAGTGCGAATAAATGTGTTTGAAACAAGTCATTACTACAGCCTCTCTTACATGTGTAAAAATATCATGACGTCATATATTTCGAAGAAGATAAACCTTTTATCTACTATAAGTGTGATTGCACAGATGGCGCAGTGGTTTAAGTGGTCGCCACGCCGCTTCCTACTACGCCGAGTGTTGTGGGTTCAAACCCCACATGGGACGACACTTTGTGTGATCCACAAATTGTTGTTCTGAGTCTGGGTGTTCTTTGTGTCCGTTTCATGTATATTTGTAAAGTCCCCCGCGACACAGGATATATTCCTAATGCGGAAGTTGTCTTTTTTAACAACTTAACAACAACAACTATACTGGGATTATCATATTTTGCAATACAATAATTAATAAATAAATTTGGCAGTGTTTCATGAACAGAAACAAAATACAAAGCTTTTATATTAAATTGTGAAACGAATTGACATTATTTACACACATTGTAAGATTCGTTTCCAGTCATATCAGACACAGACATAGTGCTTTGATCTCTCTATGAGTAGATTGCTGGGCTATTTTTACTGTAGTTTGCTATTAAGATAATAAAACCAGAGAATTCACTACATTGTAAAATAAATTATTATTGTTACGGGTCAGGACGGTTTCAAATGAAATGTCAATTATGTACACTATCGCTTTTGGAGTGCTAGGATTCGCAGAACTGCTTCGAAGTTGTTAATCTTTTAAAATTCGCAGTGATAAATAATACTTCTATCATTTCCTGGTTTAGTGGCTATTAGCTGAAGATCCTAAAGAATCTCTGTCTTAGACAGACAACTTTGAATTTTGTATGTTTGATGTTTTCAAATTAACTTCCGAAAAATGTAATAATCTACGCAATATGGTAGACATGTTTCTCATGTTTACAACCGTTTCGTAGTTTACCTCAAGTTAACTTAGTTAAATTTATATAAATACTAGGTTTTTCCTTCGGCTCCGCTCGCGTATATGTCGGTTATCGCGGCCTATGTCTTTCCTCAAGAATCAAAGTAAATCCATACCAAATTTCATTTAAATCGGTTCAGCGGTTTTTGATGCCTCATACAAACTTCCACCCTCCTTTTTACCCCATTAAAGGATGATTTATTGGATAAAAACTACCCTATGTCCTTTCCCGGGACTCGGACTATCTGTACACCAAATTTAATCGAAATCAATTCAGCGGTTTAAGCGTGAAGAGGTAATAGACAGACAAACAGACAGAAAGACAGACAGACACACTTTCGCATTCATTATAGCAACAATCGAATTTGATTTTAATTACATTAATACAAGTCCAATTCTATTTTTATTTCATTTTGTTAACCTTGTATGTTTCACTTTGCTAAGTAAGCTCCGTCACCGAAGAATGGTCGCCCCTCTTTTGAGATAAAGGTTGTAAAAATTAAACAATGAACTTTAAACAAACATATTCGGCGTCTAATAAGTAATGGCAGGTTAAACTATTTATAATTTTATTACAAACTTTATTAACTATTTTTAAGGTCGTTAATTATCCTTCATGCTTTCTGTGTTTGTACGAGTTTTTTTTTTATATTTGTGATATCCACTTATTATGTAGGGGTACTTATAATAAAACACCACACAATTATGTACATAGGCACCCAACTCCACAGCACGCCCGCCCACTCCGAGTGTCAGATCGGAAGTGAACGAATGGCATTGCCGTTGGCTTGCTTCCTATATTTTATTATATAATGGTATACGTCACATCTCTTCCTTTTAATATAATTAATTTGATCTCTTAATTTTCTAAATCATAAATCACTATTCTAATTTACTAGATACACTTAACTTTGCTGGTAATAGATGACCGTAAATTACTATTTATCTTTATTAGATACATCTCCCTGATTAATAACTTTCCATTCGCCTTCTACTTTCTTCAGATGTACAATATTTCGCCTGTACTCCTGGCCAGTTTCATCGTTCCTTACGTTTATGTCACTTCCTTCAGCGCTTATTACGGTATGAGGTGTTGGATTGTAGTCTGGAGTTATTTTATTTTCTTTGACAAAGTTCTTTACATAGACTTTCTCGCCAATTCCTAATTCTCTGTCTGTAGCCTTTCTCTTTCTGTCTTCGATTAATTTAATTTTGTCTTTTGCTTCTTTATCCCGGTCTCTAACTTCTAAATCGTTATGATTGGTTTCAAGATCTGTTAAAAAGGGTAATTTATCTCTGAATTGCCTTCCATAGAATAGCTCCGATGGAGATTTACCTGTGGATGAATGCGTTGTACTATTGTACATTATTAGGTTTTTTAACAAATCGTCTTTCCAGTCTGATTTCTCGCATTGACTGATTTTAAGTCTTTTAAGAATATCCCTGTTCTGTCTCTCAACCTCACCGTTTTGTTGAGGCCAGTAAGGGATCGTATTAAAGAGTGTAATTCCATGTTCACTACAAAATGCCTTGAATTCTTGACTACAAAATTGTCTGCCGTTGTCAGCCGTTATGCTAGCAGGATTCCCGGTACGTGAAAAAATTTTCTTTAACACTCTAATTGTATCTTGTGCAGATATTGTTTTCATGATCTCAATCTCTTTGTATCGACTGTAATAATCGATAATCACAAAAAGATAATTTCCACTAGGCAAAGGACCCAAAAAGTCAACAGCAGTATCCACCCAGGCTTTTGAAGGCAGTTCACGCCTTTTCATAGGTAATGGTGGATTAGGAGCCGAGACTAAGGTCTGCAATTTTTTACAGTTTTATTGTCTATTTTCGGCCACCAGACCTTGGTACGTAACCTAGCCTTCATGTTGACTATACCTGGGTGGCCTTCATGGGCTGCTGCCAAAACTATACCCCTCAACTCAGTAGGAATTACTATCTTGGTACCTCTTAACAAAACGCCATCATGTAACCAGAGTTCATGTTGAAATAATTTGTAATTATTTACTGAATGATCCCAATTATCATTCAGTAACCCATCCTTAACCAATTTAAATTCCTTATCGTTATTCGATACATCAATAATTGTCTTAAGTGGTAATGCAATAGGTCGTGCATATTGCACAATCTGGTTGACATGATATTCGCCTCCAAGAGAACCTTCTTGTGAGTTGGTAGCCCTGCATAGACGGGATAATGGATCTGCTATGTTCGATTTGCCCGGTTTATTATATATTACTTTATAATCATATGTTTATAATCGAAGGACCCAACGTTCGATTTGTGCACAAGGCTTTGATCGTATACCAAATATGACTTCTAGGGGTTTATGATCGGTGACAAGTTCGAACTTTTTCCCATATAAATATATATGGAAGTGCTCGATTGCCCAAACCAAGGCTAGAGCCTCTTTTTCGGTCTGGCAGTACCGTTTTTCTACGACAGTTAGACTTTTATTACCGAAAGCAATAATACGGGGCTCATTGTTATCGTACTGAATCAGTACAGCGCCTAGTCCTACGGGACTCGCATCAGCGAATACTTGGGTACGATCTTTTGGGTCATAGTAGCCAAGGGTTGGAATCTTGGAGAGACAATTCTTTAATTTTGCAAAAGCTTCTGCTTGCGGATTATGCCAAAATGCTGTGATGTTAGCATTCTTATGCACTTTTTTGCCTAAGTAACTGACGAATTGGTTCTGTCGAGGTGGACAAATTGGGAATCCATTTTCCAACGAAATTAATTAGCCCTAGAAAGCTTTGGATTTCTTCGATGGTTTCCGGTGATCTAAATGTCTCAATTGTTTTGATGTATTTGTCAAGTGGTTTAACGCCTGAAGCCGAGAGTTCGTGTCCCAGAAATTGAATAGATTTTCCGTTGAAAACACATTTACTTTTATTCAGTAAGACATTGTTGTCTCTAAGTACTGTTAAAACGTGCTCAAGCCTAGTCTGACTTTCCTTCAAATCTCGTCCAAAAACAACGATGTCGTCTATAAAATTTACGACACCGTCACAAGGTAATAACATTTTTTCCATAATTTTTTGGAAATGTTCAGGTGCGCAAGAAATTCCAAACATTAGTCTTTTATACCTAAAAAGTCCTTTACTAGTTATAAATGTTGTAATTTCTCTGCTATTTTCTGACAATTCAACGTGATGGAAAGCATTTTTAATATCTAATTTAGAAAAAAAACTTGCTTTACAAAACTTAGGAATTAGTTGTTCCATGGTAGGCAAGGGATGATTCTCTCTTATAATGGCTTTATTAGCAATTCTCATATCTAAACAAATACGAATATCACCATCAGGCTTCAAAACTGGCACCATCGGAGAAACCCACGCAGAAGGCATATTTACTAGTTTAATTATATCCAATCGTACTAGTTCATCCAATTTTTTGTTTATTTTTGACTCCAAAGGAATCGGAACACGTCTGTAAGGTTGACAAACTGGGCGAACTGTTTTGTCAAACATGATTTCTAACTGAACGTCTTTGAATTTGGTGAATGGTGTTTGTTCGATAAAATTGACACCCAGACCCAATTTTAAAACTTTTAGAGAAATAGCCGTTTGCTTTCCTAAAAGGTTCCTAGATCCATTTTCAATAACATAAAATTTTGAAATTAATGAATTTGACCCCACCTTTATTGGAGCCTCAAATGAGCCTAGTACCTTTAATGGCTCTTTGGCACCATATGCCAGGAACGTTTTTAGAGACTCTAACTTGAGATTGCTTCATGTACTCCCAGTTCGATCATTTATAATATTGGATTTACTACCAGAATCAATAAGCATTTGAATTTGAACTCCACCTACCTGACAGTCTATCATTGCATCGTCATCGATGTGGAAAATATAATCTACAGATGTAGATCCTTTGTTTTGGGAAGACTCAACTTTGGGTTTTTTATATTCATTGTTTGGTGGGAAGTTAGAACTTTTTCGTTTATTGGCCCTGGTTCGGCAGTGTTTCTGAAAATGGCCTTTAAATCCACATGTTATGCAATTAGCATTAACTGCAGGGCAAGTACTGCTGTCACTTTTGTGATTTTTAGTGCCACAACGGCAGCAGGAATCAACCTCCTCTCGTCTGGTGAATCGTTTTACGGTTTTATTGTCGATTTTGTTGATGCTGGTAGATGTTGCAGGTTTGTTATGTCTGTCGTGGAACTCGCTCAATTGACGGTCTACCGTTTCTAACGTATTTGCCTCTGCTATTATTTTCGCTACGGTTGCTTTGTCACCAAGTACCAAAATGTTCTTTCTCAATTTAGTAGAACTACACTTTTCTGTTATTTGATCGATGAGGTTTTCGTCCTCATTAGTAAAATTGCACTTGGAACTCTGTCGTCTAAGACGAATCAAGAACTTTTCAAACTTTTCATCGGGTTCTTGTTTCATTAACCGAAATAAATGTCTTTCAAATAAATAGCTTTGTTTTGGGGAAAAATACTCATCTAATTTTTTAACTGCCGTGTCATAAACGTCAGTCGCAGTTACATGTGCCCCGGGAATATTAAAATATATGTCTTGTAATATCATGCCACCGGAATGTAGTAATATAGCACGTTTTGTATTT